TGCAGAAAGCAGTTGTGGTGTCACTCCTACATAACCGTTGCTACAAAGGACTCGCCAGCCTCATTGGGGTCTTTTGCTTACGTTACCCCGTCACAGCAGTATCTCTCTCTTTAAAAACCATAGAATAGAAAGTTTGCATTTAGGTAGGCGTGAACTTTAAAAAAATTTTCCTGGCATCCAAGTACACACACTTCCCATCGCAAATGCTCTACCTGGTTTTGGAATAGGGGATTGCTCCGCCCCACCACTCTCATATTCTTAATGCTAGCTAGTATCATTTAATGTCATAATCCATCACTTGGCTTTGTACTTGAATAATGAGGGTTTGCCAGCATTGAGTAAATATCTTGAGTTAAATTGTTAATAATGAGAGGTGCATGCTTCGGTTTTATTCCCACAGAAAGTTTACAGGAGAATGTAAAAGCTGGCAAGAACTAGTTATGTGACAATTTAAAACCTGTAAATACCATTTAAATATTGTGAAAATAAATTCTTTGTTAAAACACAATAACTGAGTGATTTGATGTCATATTTAACATATCAAATAGCATATTGCCAGGCATCCTTTTAAAATTTTGATGGTGCATAGAACTAAGAGAAGTGCCTTTAGCATGCTCTTTATTTCATTTATGTCCCAAGGCATCGCTTTATGATGTTTAACTTCCAAAATGAGTTTTAAAATTTAACATTTGAGGGTAGATTGATCATTGCTTTTATTTTCTTTCCATTTCAGCTCCATATTGGCCAGCCATAAAACAAAGCTCCGTCTCGACTTTGTGAACCCCTGTGCCCATGAAGTTCTTACTGTGTGGCTCTGTCCCCTCACCTGCAGTTTGTAATAAGAATCACTACTGCATATCCAGTTAGCTTAACTGCAAAAATTTACTCAGCAGGCCTGTGGCGTAGTGATTATGAATTGGGCTGCCAACTGCAAGGTTGACAGTTCAGAACTCCCATGGGCAATTCCACACTGTCAGATAGGGTCACTATGTAAGAATTGACTCATGCCTGGGAGTTTGAGTTGAAACTAACAAGTTTGGGACCAGGCAACTAAAATGGTAATGAGAGGTCTATAGCTCCCTGTATATATATTATTTTTACTCTCAAGTATTCAAAGTAGCCTCCTGATTTCTGTTATGATATGCCTAGAATGTAAGGATTTAATCTTTGAGACGAAAACAAAACCAAGTATTGCTTGGTGATTATTATTTCACACGTTAGCATGCACAGTGTGGATCTGTGCTAATTATGAGGTCAGAGTTAGCTGCAAGCTTTTGATTCCATGGCAACAGATAATTCCTTTATTTTCCAGAGGGAAACTGACACATTTCCCTCATGGTGAAGGTTACAGTAAGATTTTTGTTTTTAAATTTTGTTTTGTTTTAATGCTCACCCACATTAAAAACCAGATCATTTAATCATAGGATTTTATCCCTTAGGACTTTACCTAGGTCCTTTACCTAAGTTTTTTCCTTTTAAAGCTTTGAATATTTAATGTAATTAAATTCATGTACTAGCATGAATTTAAAAAAGCAAACAGAACTGTGCTGACTATGAGATTCTGCAACCAAATAATTAGGGTCATTTTGTGGGAATGATAGAGTTTA